ATGGGAAATAAATACTAATTTTTATAAAATGTTATCATTTGTCTAGTTATGTCTACTTTAAGAGAGAAAAGTAACCCTCTGTTCAGATCCGGATGCTCTGAGATAATGTGATCATGCGGTCACCAATGCTCGAGGGACCCATTGTCCGATTAAACAAAGGGTGGCTTAGCACAAAAGTGTACGTTAAGGCTGTCCGTTTTAACTACAAGAGGCAATGTAACGCATGGCAGACTACATGGATAGAATAGACTCAAACTTGTCGTTTTGTTTATTATGACTATGCGTAAAATATGAGTGGAGATCGAAATCAAGAAATTAGGCAACAAATTGAATTTCAGGAATAGATGTACGAAGTTAAATAAAAAATAAGTATGCTTAATTGATAGATTTAGAAATAAAGTCGAGATTGAGCCACCTAAAAGAGGAGGAAACTCAACTTGTCTTTTATTGAACATGGCTCAAATCATGTTTCACTGTATAAATCTCTGAGTTCACACGGCCTATACGGATATCGGGAATTATATAATTTGAGATATTCTTAAAAGGTCATTCGAACTTTATGTAAGGCTCTGTCCTAAGTACTTGGAGCCATCATTACTAGCTTTGTGTATATAGCGCATATATACACATCCAGGCATGCACATTCTCTAGCTTCTAAATCAGAATGACATAAATTAGCCAACCCACTCAAAACTTCGAAAATTTATAAGTTTGAATCCTATTAATAGTATTTAATTATAAATCGCCCTATCAATTGACTGACGTAGGCCTGGCATATATATTCACTGTAAGTAGATCTTGAATAAGGCTAACAAGAACTGAATACTTTACCTTACTCCACTAAAGGTAGCCTATTCCAAGGCGGATTATGCCCGTGTTATTCAGATGTATCGGTAACATTTTGCAAATATACCTTGCCCTACCCGGGCTTATTCCCTTTGGAGAGAAATTTCAACTATTCATCTTTCTTCACCTCGTACAACGTAGAGTGATTATGACTCCTTGAAAGCCCAGCATGTTTTTTACCTTAACTTAATTAGATTACCTCGAAGATGATGTCAAAATTAAAGTTGAAGTTGGTTTAAATGAAAGCTGGCAAAGCATAACCCTCCATCTTTCGATGAAATCTGTCTCCTAATCCCCTAATCATCCATTTTTATTCTACGTGTAAGTAAGCTTAGCTTTTCCACTTAATTATTAAAGACTACTTTGCCTAGTTCCAACTTTAAAGTGTCGCATATAATTAACACATTCCTTTTATCTGTTGTTATAATCCTGCCTGTGCTTCCATATTTGAAGACTAATATACTGAAGCAATTATTATTATCCCAATGTCATAGGCTTCACTGGGAACTTATTTCGTATAAATGAATAAGCTGTAGAGACATGTTTAAAAGGGTCTGATACTGTAATATTAATTTTATTCTATTGCATCTGCTTTTTATAGGATACATTACCAGTATTTTAGTGGGATATGTTTATAAGATATTTATCTATAACTCTTTAAAATTGCATGTGAATTCCCCTGTGAGTCATCTGCGATACTTTAATAAATAGTAGCTAATTTTTTCCCATTTAAATGAGTAGAAAACACCAAGGTGTCAATAAATTTCATATAGCCTTATCCCTCAAAATACACTTTTATCCATGTTGTAACACAATTTTGTCATCATATGGGGCTCTAAATTTAATATTCCACTCACATCTATGGACCCTAGTGAGATATAAGTTATATTTTAATTTCAAGGAAAATATGTCTCCACAAAATAAACATTTATTGTAGGATTGCTGACGATAGGGAAACTTTATGTGATATAACACCCTGATGCGATACTATACACAGATCAAATATGTTTGTATATTATCGTTCGGTCTCAACTATTAGCCCGAATCACCATAGATAAGATGTTATTTTGCCAGTGTAAATCTTATACTGCTAACCGTGGCCTAACAAAAGTTCCTAATATTCATTTATCTCATTTAAGTATCAGTCACTTAATCCTCTTTATCATATCAACTCTCCCTGCATTCTCTCATCACTCATATATTCTCTCTTTTAAAGGCCTTTATTTGCCTTCTTAATCCTGAGTTCCATCCATTTCACAAGTCTTTCCGATGTATAGTCCCCTTTAAATCATAATATTTTACAACATTATTTCTTTTTGGCTTAACACCTCTTTGTAACTGTCAGATCTCTTCCAATTCGTTTAAAAATGAGTTTGTAACGCATTAGCTTCTTCTTGAGAATAAATAAAGTGTATCATCATTTCCATTCGGTTCCCGGTCCTAGAGCTTGTGCAAACGATGGAAAGAAAGGCTGCTCCCTTTGGTGCATCTCTAGCTGTGGATCGTTAAAGGGATTAATTTTTTTAATGATTCTTTGAATCATGGAGCCTGGCAAAGTCTTAATTTTATCCCTCAACATATTTCTTCTGGACTGTTTTCCTCGATTGCTTTTTTCCTAGGACTTAATGTTACCTACATTTTCCTCCATCTTTAAACTATT